GTAAAACAGCAGGACCAAACCAGTCCCTTGGTTTGGGGAGTACCTCACGGAAGGAGGGTGTGGAACAAACAGGCTGGCCAGATGGGGATGGCTGCTGAGGTCTCAGGAACAGGGTGATGGAGCCAAGGAGAGGCAGGCCCACAGCACATTCCAGAGGGCTCCAAAAGCAGATGCTGAGTCACAGCCAAGCCGAGCCGAGGCGACAGCCCACACCTCCAGGGGACTGCAGTTTTCCCCTCTTGGTCTGTATTACTCATACACACTCAGACCAACCTCCCCCAAAATACCTCAGAGGACTTGCTGCTTGTGGAGACAGCTCAGAACAGCACAGATTTCGGAAAACTCTGGCTTCCCATCCAAGTCGTATCACTTACCAGCCCGTGAGGTGAGGCAAGTCAAAAATTGTCCTAACCTCGGGCGCCTGGGTGGCTCAGTGGGTTAAGCCCGCTGCCTTTGGCTCGGGTCATGATCTCAGGGTCCTGGGTTCGAGTCCCGCATCGGGCTCTCTGCTCAGCAGGGAGCCTGCTTCTCTCTCTCTCTCTCTGCCTACTTGTGGTCTCTGTCTGTCAAATAAATAAATAAAATCTTAAAAACAAAAAATTCTCCTAACCTCATCTTCCACCATTTTCCATGAATGGGGAACACACCTGCCTGGCCTCAAAGGAGAGAGAATCCAACGCTTTTAAGATAAACTGGCCTGGGGACACTTGGCTGGCTCAGTCAGCGGAGCAACTCTTGATCTCAGGGTTACAGGTTTGAGGGCAAACTTGGGTATAGAAATTACTTCCAAAAAGAAAAAAAGAGAGAGAGAGAGGGAGAAATCTTTTAAAAATAAATAAATAAACTGGCTTGATGGTGAAAGTGGTTTAAGCAAGTTTTAACTGTAAATACCAAGAGACTTTCTCTCAGGTATCCTCATATCCCAACTTCTCCTCAAAAGCACTTAATATAGGATGCCTGGGTGGCTCAGTCAGCTAAGCGTCTGCCTTCAGCTCAAATGATCCCGGGGTCCTGGGATTGAGCCCCACGTGACATCGGGCTCCCCCCACTCCATGCTCCCTCTTTCTCTCTCTCTCAAATAAATAAAATCTTAAAAAAAAAAACAAACCCACTTAATACAGTATTCTGCACAATGACATTCATTTATCAAGGACCTACTTAGTACATATTAGATAACTACTAGGCTCTGAATAAGCAATACCAATGTATTAGGGTTTGGGAGCTCTTAATATTTGGGTCATTGCAACATGAATAACAGAGTTAAACAGGGTTTCCACTGTGGCTTCAAATCCTAGTTCAAATAGTTTTGTGAATTAAATAATAAAAGAGTCATTACAAATTTTGGTCTGCCTAACTCAGCCCAACAAACACCAAACACCAATGTTGTTATCAAACACCGAAATGGGCAGAAGGCACAGATAACGAATATCGGAGATGCTCTTACAGAACTTCTTTTTGGGTGGGGGGAAGGAGTCAGCAGGTAACTATACTACTACACAACCACATTACAAGGCAAAATGTGGTGAAACTATAGGAAGTATTAGAGACACAAAGTTAATTCTGACTAAGGAATTGAGTACAGAGTTCCCTGGAGGACATATTTGCACAAGTGAAGGCTTAAAAGGGTGATAGGTCATTCTGGACAAGACCCACAGCAAAAGTTTAAGTGAAAGCAGCTCTACAGATGTGTTTGTGTGCATGGCGGGGAGGGGGTGACAAGGGGAGGGGGAAACGTTCACTAAACAGTCTGCGACCACATTGGGGGGTCAAGGGCATGTGCGCTGTGCTAAAATGTTTGACCAGCTGTCTGGGTGACGGAGAGCGGCCCAAGGTTTCCAGACAAGACAGTGACACAGTCAGAACTAGAGCCAAGGAAGCCCACTCTCGTGGCAGTGTGAAGAAGCAGATGGAGAAGCTATTTTAGTCTGCCAAGGAAGAAGTCACGGCAAGAAGAGGGAATGGCCCCCACTGTCACAGCCATACAGGCAAGCAGAGAAGTTTACACTATTTTTTCCCCTCTTTCAATGTGACTTTCTGCTCTCTCCACACCTATCTTTTAGGGGAAAGGTGAGAACCTGGTTTTTAACACAGATCAGAACAACTTTCTCAACCCACTACAATTTTTAGACGAGTTTTTAAACAATGACTTGCCATGTCAGCCTGGTGAAGCTTATCTCCAGTTCTAATGCATGCTCACTTATAAAACAAACTGGAAAATGTGATCTACGGAGCCGCAATCACTATTTTCACCTTGTACAACCAAAATAATGTAGTCTGAGAGACAATCCTGGTACTTAGGGCAGTCACAACATTAACACAAATTAGAGCCCTCAAGAGAAACTGAACTGGGGGCTGTTTTTTCTTATAAAGGAAGGATGGGGGAGGGGGCTCCAGATCTACAGGGCTGGGCCCAGGGTACAAAGCAATCTGCATTTCCATTTCCCTTTGAATCAAACACTTCTGAAACCATTCCCCAGTCATTTCCAAGCAGCCCTTTTCCAAGTTGAAGGTTGTAAACATGTGTCCCTCCCCGCCCCTAGCACCTTAGCCTTACTTTTCCTTAGTTAAGTCTTCCCTAACAAAGCAACAGCAGGCAACAGAGAGCACCAGCCTAGAACCCTAAAATATGACCTGAATACATTATTTGCCTCATCTGTAAGTGATGAGACTAAGTGTTGGACTAAGTGTTGGGACTCTGATGTTCCTTCTAGCTCTAAAATTGTCAGTTTTGATGATGTTCTTGGATCCTCTGGCTTCCTCCAAATTCTTTAAACAGGCGCATAATAAAAACCCAGGGAACAGAGGATCAATCTGGCTTCCAGATCCTCTTGCCCTACTATGCTCAGACTTCCAAAGGAGGTCCAGCCTGTTGATGCTGATTATCCTCTAAAAGGGAAAAAAAAAAACTTCTAATTTTTTAATTCCTTGCAGGAAAGGCACTAAGGACTGGAATAAGAGAACCAAGATAAAATTGCAGCAAATGGACTACAATATGGAATTCCAGAAGTCCAATGCTCCTTTGGACTTCTTTTATAATAACTAAAAAAATTGGTTAGTCTTAGACAACGATATAGTATTTATCAGTGCCCAAAGTGTACAATATGCTTTATGCTGTTTGCTTTTTTTCTCTTCCAGCTGACTTCTTGCTCTTTCTAGACCTGTCCTTCTGGAGGAAATACAAGAATCTGGTTTTGAAGACAGACCCTTTCTTGAGAGTTTCTATAATCTTCCCCCTTGATGAGAATCCCAGGGACAGCGGTTACTACTCCCATCATGGCTCACTACCAGCTCCCACTTGACACATTACAGAAGTAACACTTAGGACTTAACACTGAGTATCAACTGAGACCAGGAAATGACTGAGGGCCACAAAAGCAAGGAGAATGGACTGATTTCCCCCTTTAGGGTCTCAGCTTCCCCTCTATAATGACTTTACCATTTAGATGATTGCCAAGGACACTGTTTCTATATGCCACGGTCATCTGCCAATTCAAGTCTCCCTGCCCCCAGGAGGGCGGACCTCAGGTAAGTATTTGGGACCAACTATGTGTCAGACTTCATGCTAGGTGAGCTGGGACAGCCATGAAAAACAAAAAGGTCCCGTACAACAGGCATGTGCTATGGAAAGAGGGGAGGAAAGGTAATCCTAAAAGAACACGGAAAGCTTCCTCAAAGGGCTGGGCATCGTGGGTTTTGCTTTTAAGTACTATTTGGAAAAAAAAAAAAAATGTATTCAGCCTGGGGCAAATGCCACATCAGCTTTTGGGGCCTAACGCTGCCAGATTCCCAGCCCCAGGAGCTAGAGACAAGAGATTAAGTTGATCAATAAAGAAGTTTCCGAGAGCCAGCGGCCGGGTCCGGGCCCCACGCGCCAAGGGAGTCCAGACCTGGAGGGGAAAATGCGAAGCCAAAATGGAGGAGGGGCTGGAGGAGTCAGCTCGGGCGCGAGAACCTCGTGGCTCGCTCCTCATGGCGCCAAGCAGCCTTCCTGCTCGGCTCTCCCCGGCCCTGGGAGGCAGCATCCCACGTCGCCAGACGCGGCGCGCACAGCCCCAGCCCGCAGGCTCGGCTGGTGGAGGGAGCCCGTGCTCCCGCCGCACCCCGAGGTCGCCAACCGCCCTGGGAAACAAGCATCCACATCTCAGGGGCATCAGGGGAGCAGAGAAAGAAACATCTGGGAGGACTCCACCCTTCACCTGCAGAAAAAGCCCCGGGAAAGCTAAAAAACCATTTCCCTAGTTTCTCCTTGCCTGGCCGATAAAACAAAGAAAGGCACGTAGGGGAGTCGGACACCCAGAGGATGACCCCTTTCCGTGGACCCGAGACGCGCAAGCCCCGGACACCGAGGGGCCTGGAGCCGGTGCAACTTTCTCATTGAAGCCGGCCACGTTTCCTCTCAGAACCGTGGAACACCAGAAGCCCCGGCGATTAGCATTCCGTTGATGTCACCGCACCTAGCCGGCGCTCGGGATTTTCCCCAGAAAGCCCTGCAATCCCCAGCCCACGACCGGCTCCCGGCCCCGGGACGCCGCCTCGCGCGTTCTCGCAGCCCGCCGGGTCCGGCTCCCCGGCTCGCCCCGCCCCGGATCCCCGGGACCTCCAGGCGGGGCTGGGGGCTAGGGGGCGCACCGGGGGCTCGCCGGCGACCGTGCCTAAAGCCCTCTCCCCCACCGTCCGACCCGCGGAGTAAGCATCCGCCTTCCCGGCCGGTGCCCCCATAGGAGCCGGGCCACGAGTTACCGCAGCGGAGAAGAAGAGCGAGCGGGAGCGCGCCAGCCCCGCGACGGGTGGTCGGCTGCAGCCCCCTCCCCGGGCCCCCCGAGGACCGGAACCCCCGCCCGCCCGGCCCGCAGTCGGCGCGGGGAAGACTGGGCGCTGGACGCGGCCAGGAGCGGAGGCGCGCGGGCCACGCGGTGGCTGCAGCAACTGACACGGCCCGCGGCCGAGCCACATGCTCCGCCGCCCGGGCCCCGCAGCGCGGCGCCGCGACCCCGCCGTACCTTGCCGCTGGCCGTGCCCCCGCTGACGCCGATCAGGAAGGGCTCGCCGCCGTTGGGCTGCTGGTGGTTCTGCAGGGTCTGCTCGCTGTCCCCGGCCATGGCTGGCGCCGCCCCTCCTCCCGCTGCTGCCGACCGACGCACGCTCCCCGCCCGCGCCCGCGCCCGCGCCCGCGTCGGGCTCCCCCGCTCCCCGCGGCCGCGGCTGGGCGCTGCCCGGCTGCCTGTGAGCCGCCCGGAGCTCGGCCGTGGGGCTGCCTTTCCCGGAGGCGCCGACAGCCTGCCTCTGCCCGCAGCGGCCGGCTCGGTTTACAGCCCAGGCGGGGGTCAGCGTGATGCCGCTGCTCCAATCCGGGCGGGCAGCGCGCTGCTATTCGCCGAGGCGCAGGCGGCGAGGCGTCCGGCCCCAGCCTCCGCCCCTCCCCGGCCCCGCCGCCGCCCGAGGTCTCCCGGAGAGGTGTGAGCCCGGCCCTCCCTCCCCTCCCCCTCCCCCTCCCCCTCCGCCCCCCGCCGGGTTAACCCTTTCCCCGGGGACCTCGGGCTGACCGAGGGCAGAGAAACAAGCGCTCGGCGCTTTAATTGGGTGCGCTGCCCCCCTCTTTCAAAGGGGCCACAGAGCTAGCAGGGCGGAATGCCAACGCCCCAGGTTTGGGAAGCAAAATTCGAACAAGCATGGAAGGTTAAGACGAAACAAAGAGTTAAGGTCATTTGCCCATTATTCAGGCTAAAAACTTGTGTTTTCCCCAAATAAAAAATTTTCCCCCGCCCGTTTGCCAAAATATGTCAGACTCTGGCTTTAAATATTTCCTCTCTTGGAAACACCATCCTCCTTAGTAGGCGACTCCCTAGAGTCCTTGTCCCTAGAGAAGGGTATTGGGGGTGGGGGGTATCTGAAGGGCGCACTCCCTCCAAAAAGCAAGGCCCTTTCAAACCATAGTTTGAAATCACAAAGACTGAGGTTCCTGTGGAATTAGGATTTATGGAAACATTGAAATAGTAATTAATGCTATTTTGACCCATTAATACCCTTAAGTGAACTGGTTTTTCAGAGATGGGCCATTAGTGATTTGATGAGAAAGGCCGGATCCGACAGGAACTCAGAGCAGCCGCCACCTCTGGGCGGATTTCTCCATTCACATGCAGTTGCACAAGTGAGTTACATAATCTCCCTGTGCCTCAGTGTTCTCATCTGTTACATGGGAATAATAATGGCACCTCCGTCCTAGGATTGTTGCATTAAATGAATTCTTACAGATAAAGTTCTTAGAATAGGGGCGCCTGGGTGGCTCAGTTCTTGAGCATCTGCCTTCCACTGGGGTCATGATCCCAGTGTCCTGGAATGGAGCCCCCGCATCAGGCTCTTGCTTAGCCCTCTCCCACTCCCCCCTGCTTGTGTTCCTTCTCTCGCAGTCTCTCTTTGCCAAATAAATAAAATCTTAAAAAAAAAAAAAAAAGTTCTTAAGATAGCTGCTGTCACAGTCTAGGCCCTATGCAAGAGATGGAAGAAAACAGGCTCCTACAAGGCTGGGGACCCCAGAGGGAACTTTTGTTGGGGTACAGAGGGGGAGAGGTAGGACTAGATCAGTAGCTTCTGGCCTCTGCCCCTGTGAATCTGGAACTGATGAGCTGATGTGCTCCTACAGGCTAAAAGAGAGCTTAAGTCAACAGCATTATTTTCAAACTTAGGTACCTTAAATTCAGAATTTTTTAATTGCTAAAGAAAATTAAGAACATTAGAAAGCACAAATGTTCTTTTCACTTCTGAAATATTTCGTGTCCCCACCCAAAACCAAACTGCACAGAAGCTCAGACAGGAGGCTAAGATGGAGAGAGTGGCTACCTGGTTGGGAGAGGTCAGCTAGAAGGAGGGCGCCTTACCACCTGGCTGTGGATGGGTGGGTTTTAGCGGATTCATAAGGCTGCCTCTTCTCCCCAATGTCTTTTCTCCACCAAAGAGATCTAACAGTCTTCAAACACTTTTGCAGAGCTCTTTATAGCCCAAGATAAAGCCTGTTGGAACTTGGACAACGGGATGGACCCAGAGCTAAGGAGATAGAAAAAGAAGAGGAGGGTAAGATAATGCCGCATCCTTTATGAACTTTGCCCCAATCTCCACCTTCCTTCTTTCTCTAGCTTTTTTTCCATGATATTTCATCACAAAATTTTTCAAACATTGAAAAAAAAAATTTTTCAAACATTGAAATATTTTACAGGAAACACTGATATAACCACCAACTGGATTCTGCCGTGAACACTGGACCATACTCATCACACTAGTCATCTACCCATCCCTCTATCCGGCACATTTTGCCTGGAGTACTTTTTTGCCTTTCCCTTGTTCATTGGAAGTGGCTTACTCCAAACTGGTTTATACTTTCTTTGTTTTTTTTTTTTTTTTAATTACTATATTCCCAGCACCTAGAACAGTTTCTGGCACATGTAGGGCCTTCACAAATATTTGTCGAACAAATGAAGAAACGCCATGTTTCGTTTCCACATTCCCGAGGCCCCCTGAGCAGAATGGCAGGCCGGCAGGAAGCACTTATGACGTGTTCACTGAGAATGAATCAATGAAGACTACGGAAGAGGTCAAAAGTACCAACAAGTAAAGTTCACTGCCACCGTTTTGGAATGAAAGGTGGTATTCCCTCGATAGTATTTACATGGTTACTACTCTTAATTCCAAATATTCTCTTTTCCTGGCATTCCAAGTGACTGTCTACCACTGGTCTTGATTATGCGTCTGTGAACTACTTGAACCAACCCATTAACTGAGCTAACTCGTTACACTTATCTGTACCTTGTTTAAAGATTTTATTTATTCATTTCAAGATTTTATTTATTTCTTTAATGTAATCTCTACTCCCAATGTGGGGCTTGAACTCACAGCCTCAACCAAGATCAAGAGTCACATGCGGTACCGAGCCAGCCAGGCACCCCTTCTGTACCTTGTTTAATAATTCTGACCTCTGTGCGTAAGTTAATATACATGAGAGTGCCCTGAAAAAAAAAAAAAAAAAACACAAAAGCTGTCTATATAAAGGTAAGGCCTAATTAGCAAGGACATCCAGCTGCACTCTGCACTCCCTGTTTTCACTCTCTTCTGTCCCTAGGGCTGCCTTACCTACAGGTAAGGAAGTTACCCTAGTCCATTTAAATTAAGAGTATCCTGAGCACTGGTGACCTCAACAAGGACGTTTGCATCTCTGCTCTCTATAAAGCCAGCCAGGCTGTCTGTGCTATTCCCTGTGCTGTGTCATCCTCTCTCAGGAGCCTGGTCACCAAATCCCATAGCTGGGGACGTTCAAATCACATTTGAGTCTCCTAGAGAAATTCCACTGCAGATTCTGAATTAAGTGATTTCCAACTGTCCTCCCTCCCCTCCCACCAGGAAAAAAATCAAATGTGTTCAATAAAATCCAGAGTTAGAATAGATTCAAGGAAATACTATTTTCTAGGTATCTGTGATCATTTTCATTTATATTTAGATTTCTGTCTGATCAAGCTCTGGCCTAGTCCACATAAGGCAATGAAATCAGCATGAGTGTGCAGCTATAGCCGAAGAACGAGAGACAGGGATGAGAGACAGGGCCGCTCACAGGCCTCATCTGCCCGCCTTCCCTCTCAGTGGCTGTAGGTCCGCACCAGACAGGGAACCCTACATTTTATCTCCATTGGAAAAGTTCTACCTCTAGGTGCCTCACAAACCATGGCTAATTCTCTAATTGCTTATCCCATTTCCAAACCAGGAAAAAAAAAAAAAAGGTTATCAAAACTTTAGCTTGTCTCTGAAACATTGTAGTTGCCTGTATTGCCTTTTATCAATCAGTAATTGCTTGGACAGATCGTAAATACTGTTCTGAAAAGACGACCAGGTGATACAGGGGAGCTGCTTACATCTAGCACTGTGATCTTAATCACATTCTTAGATGCTGTTGGCTGCCAAGATGGAGCCAGCTCAAACCCTAGCAGCAGCAGCAGCAGCAGCAGCTGGGAATTCAAGTTTGGACCCCATCCCACAGCTAAAGAATCCAAAACTTCTGGGAATGCAAGCTGGTGCAACCACTCTGGAAAACAGCATGGAGGTTCCTCAAAATGTTGAAAATAAAACTACCCTATGACCCAGCAATTGCACTGCTGGGTATTTACCCTAAAGATACAAACGTAGTGATCCGAAGGGGCACGTGCACCCGAATGTTTATAGCGGCAATGTCTACAATAGCCAAACTATGGAAAGAACCTAGATGTCCATCAACAGACGAATGGATAAAGAAGATGTGGTATATATACACAACGGAATACTATGCAGCCATCAAAAGAAATGAAATCTTGCCATTTGCGACGACGTGGATGGAACTAGAGGGTATCATGCTTAGCGAAATAAGTCAATCGGAGAAAGAACTATCATATGATCTCCCTGATATGAGGGAGAGGAGATGCAACATGGGGGGTTAAGGGGGTAGGAGAAGAGTAAATGAAACAAGATGGGATTGGGAGGGAGACAAACCATAAGTGACTCTTAATCTCACAAAACAAACTGAGGGTTGATGGGGGGAGGGGGGTTGGGAGAGGAGGGTGGGGTTATGGACATTGGGGAGGGTATGTGCTATGGTGAGTGCTGTGAAGTGTGTAAACCTGGCGATTCACAGACCTGTACCCCTGGGGATAAAAATATATTATATGTTTATAAAAAATAAAATTAAAATTAAAAAAATGTTTATAAACCTACCCCTAAGAGGCAGGATGACGTTTCCAATTGTCACATTAAAGAATTGTGTCCCACTCTCAAGGACTAAGTGCCTTCCACTGAAGTTTCCACAGTCGGTGTGTACTCCTTTGTAACCTTGTTAATGAGAGAACATCTCCCAGTTAGAATTATGGGAGAGGGAGTTCATGCTGATTGTTTAAAAAATCACAAATCACAGATACTTAACATTTTAAATAAATTTCATCCTTCTTTAGCAAAAAAAAAAAAAAAAAAAAAAAGAATCCAAAACTTCATGGGCGGAGCCCAGCAATCTGGGTTGGATAAGCCCTCCTGGTACCTCTTAGCACCCACCTAAGGTTGAGAATCACTGATGTAGTGGAAAGAAGACAATGACCTCTAGTTGGGAAGGCA